TGTAAAACTTATAAAGCACTAATTACTCTTCCCAGGTGAGTGTTTGGACAACACTCTCAGGGACAGGGTGGGATTATTGGGATGACTGGGCAGGGCCAGGAGCTGCACTGGATCATCCTGGTGGGTCCCTTTAACTCAGGATACTCCACAATTCTCTGGTAGAATAAGGTTTTTCAGGAATATGCAGTATGAGTTCTACAGTCTGAAAAATAACTTACAAATGGATTTTTCTGCAATAAATCCCACACTAGGAGTTGCCTTAATGAGCCAAATGCATCTCTCACAGCCCTTGTAAACAAGAGTGTCTGGGGAAGGGATGAGATTGAGGGATCAGAAGCAGAGGGGGGTTAATTTGTGGAATTTTGTAGTTCATAAGTACTGCCTCATCCTAACAGCATTTGTTTCTTCCTTCACTTGCTTCCTGTTTTGTGGGGCTTAGCTCTAAATTGATGGACTAAATCTCAGCTCTCATGAAAGTTTCACAAGGGATGTTCACAGTAAAGTATTGTGTGCTTTTTTAATTTCTGACCTTTTGGTTGTTGTTGGGTTTTGTCTCTTTTTTTTTTTTTAATAAATGAGAAAGCCAACTGCTTCTGTCCCCCAAAAAAGCCTGGAGTGGGATAATGAGACTGATGTTCTCATTGTGTCCATCCCCTCCTCACCTTGGGATTGCTGTAAATGCTTGATCAAATTATATCTGATTCTGTTTCCAGTGTGTGTTTAGAGCCACAGGATAATGATGAGGCTTCTCACAACAGCGTTTCTTTATCCTTTTATAGAAGTGTTGTGTTTTTTTATCTGGTGAGTCCGTGAGAGTTTGACATTGGATGACTTTATAAAACATTCAACTAATTGGATTTGTTAAAATAAATAAATCAAACACTAATTGGAATGTGCCCTGCCATTATTTTTGCTTACTGAATTAGATATTACGGCGTGAAGTTCTTTTTATCGTATTTGTGCACTTATTTAAACACCCCCCTGGCACACACTTCTGCAAATTCAATTAGATATTCAAAGGAGCCATTCAATTTATGCAAGGCTGGTTTACATTTAATCCAGGGGCAAGTCTCAGTAACTGATGATAGGTCTGCTCAAGATTAATTAGCATCACTCAGATGAGCAGTGGCATTGTTACCAGCCTGCAGTGTAAAGCAAGGGATATTTTATCCTTCCTACATGAGCCATTATTTCCTTCAATATGACCCTTTTAAGCTTTTCATTTTGTGAAAAGGGCTCAGCACCACTCATGTTATCTAATGCCATCAAAGGCATCTCCATTTCCTCTTTTGCCCCACTTTTGTTGCTGTTTAATTTCCAGCCAAGCAGGGGAAAGGCTCCGAGATCCCAATTTGTTTTCCAAAAACCCTTATTCTTGTTAACAATTTATGAAGGCCCAGAATCCCATCTTGGTGGCTGTGTAAATGTTTCCATTTTCCTCAAGCAACTCTGTGATATGTGGCTGAAATGAAAACATGCAAACCTGCCATCTAAATTCATTGAATGGTATCTTTTTCCTTCAATTTGAGGATTTTTTTTTTTTTAATGTTAATGAACAGCCCTGTTCTGCCTCCAGACAGAATTCAGCAATGGATGATTTTCTGTTAGGATTGGTCTGACCTTTTTTCTCATCTTTATGTTCCAGCATATTTAGGTGTAGCTTATAGTTAAGTATTAACAGAGATAAGGTGTCTTAGGAAATGTTGAATATTAAGCTCATGCTGACATCAGTGAAAGGAACACATCTGCTCCTTACTGTTCCTACTTAAGTGGAATCTTAAAATCTCCTAATTTTTTGAACCTGGCTGTCAGGTTCAAAATGTCACATCTCCCAAGTTCTGCAGAAAAGACAGGGCTAAGGCCACCTGTGATTAGGCAGAATATGAACACAGGTCACTGTGACCAAGTGGCTTTACCAGGGATTGGATATAAGGAGGAATTTTTTACAATGAGGCTGGGGAGGCCCTGGCACAGGTTGCCCAGAGAAACTTTGGCTGCCCCATCCCTGGAAGTGTCCAAGGCCAGGTTGGACGGGGCTTGGAGCAACCTGGGCTAGTGGAAGGTGTCCCTGCCCATGGCAGGGGGTGGAATGAGATGATCTTGAAGTCCCTTCCACCCCAAACCCTCCTGTGATCCCATGTCTATGACAGTAACCCCAAACCCTGTGATATTCTGGATGTTGTGGTACTTTCCTTCCACTTTCTAAAGTTTCTTTCCTGTTCCACAACACACACTTTAATAGTGGGAAGAGAGGAGTTGTTGACTTTTTAGGCCCTGGGTCCCAGCTGAGTCTTTGCTTCACTTTTAATTCTGCTCCCAGTTGACACACCGGAGCAAGAAGCAGATGGAAGGTGCCCCCCTCTTGGTCCCCAGGACTCACACAGCCAGCCTGCTTGTCTGAGCCCTTAAAATTGACTCCAGCTTATCCTCCTTGTCCTCATTACCTGTAAATTCACCTCCAAATTCCAATTCTGCTGCTTCTAGTAAACGAATCCTCCTGGTTTATTGCTCTGTCACTCTGTGTTTGGAGGTTTCTCCACTAACCTTTCTTTTCTTTAAAATGTAGATGTCTTGCTGCTACTTTTAAGGCTCTCCATGGTTTATCCTTCCCTTTTATTCAGCTGTAGTACAAGGTTAGCTTTGACTTTCACACAAGGCACTTTAAAGCTTCCTCAGGTGTTGTCTCTTATCAGTGGAAACTCCCAATTAATTTCCAGAAGTTCTCACTGTATCCCTTTTTCAGCTCCTTCAACTTCACCTTCCTCAGCATGGATAAAATAACCTATTTAGCTGATTATGGCAAGGCAATGACAATTACATTCCCTGTTAAATGAGGATTGCTACCCCAGATTTTGCTGCTCTTGCTTGTTTTGCTTCGGGGACTTTGCAGTTTTCTCTGTGTGCAGGAGACCACGTGCAAATGTTGGGCTCCATCAGAGAATTTGTTTACAATTCCTTCAAAGTAACAGCTCCCAGACATCCCTGATCCTGTGAGGGGATGTGGGGATGGTTTGTGTCTGAAGTTGTGCCGTCAAAGTGAGTCTCTCACAATTACAATGCCCCGTGTGGAGGCTGAGAGCAGAGTATTTGATATTGTCTCTCATACCCACTTGCTGTAATAAAGGTGACTTTCAGATGTAGTGCTCCCTCCCACACAAGCCAGAATTCCTCTGTTCTCTCTTAGATTTTTTTAATGAGTGTGTTCAGTATTTTAATTTTGAACCTTGTCACAAAAATTAATTTTTAAAAAAAAAATATGGGAAGTTGAGGTGTAATCCTGCTTGTTTTGGCAGCTGGGGGAGCTTCACAAGGGCAGTAAATTTAAAGCAAGAACTATTAAAATATTGTAAAATTGTGAAAACTCAGAAATATTTGCTGAAACTCTACTGAAACAGGCAAGCTTGCAAGGGGGATAAAATCAACTGTAATCAGTTCTATTTATAATGAAAATATACAATATATAAAGTTGCTATTTTTTAGGATGATCTTGACCTCTTTAAACTTCAGCAACAGAGTATTTTGGGGTGTCAGGTACTCTAGGCAACAAATCCTTCTAGTATATACTTACATAGAAATGCTTGATTTTGTAGAAGCTTTGTAGAAGCACTTAGAAAACCAGTTGCGTTTGGAGTGCACATAAAATCCTTTAACAGGCTAAGGAATTAATAAATATTGATATTTGTGTTTGTAATTTACGAGAGTTCTACAGGAGATGAGACAAGTTTGGGGTTTCTTGGGAGCTAGAGCACATGGGTGCAAACTAAAGAAGGCTTTAATGTCCCTAGTGTTGGATAATCCTTGTTGTGAAGGACTCACAGGTCAGGGGTGTATGAGCTGTTTGTTGTGTGTGCAGCCTGTGGGAAGGAGTGAGGAGTCAGGAATATCTGTCCATGGAACTCTGATTGGTGTCAGGAGCAATTGGCAGCTTGGCTGGCAGAGCAAGTGAGTGTTGCCTTGAGCACTGCTCGGTCCTCCCAGCTCTGGAATGCTGGATGTGTCCAGCTGACTTTGGAGGACTCGTGTCTGCAGAGAAAAACGATCCTTGCTCCCCTGAGAGAAAACTAAAGCACTGCAGAGACACTCCTGCCGTGATTCCGGTCTCTAAACTCATGGAGCCAGACTGCATTTATGGATCCAGCAGTGAAATACGTTTGGCAGACTGGGTTGGATGGATGAGAAGAGGGATGTGTGTCAGGTAGTGTAAGGGACACCAGTGTAGGGATATCTTAGGGAATAAAGTAGCTTGATTTGACACAAGTTTCTAATATCTGTGTTGGAATACAAACTTCCATTCCACTCTTCCTGGATTTCCCTTGATTCACAAGTGTCCAGGCAGCTGCCAAGTTACTTAAGAGAGTTAACTTCTTCCAAGTATTTCAGGAATTGCAGTAAAGATCTCTTAGTCAGCAGTCTGGAAGGTGTGAATGCCGGTTGCCATCTGCTGCTTCTTATTCTCTTGTTGTTGAGAAATTATGTACTCAGAAATATTGACTGGGAAGACTTTGAGGAAACTGTGTGGTTTGTGGGTTTATGTTGTGTGTAAGAGATGGTTAAAGCCAGATTAAGATGATCAAGGCTCAAAGGCACAAAGAAGTGAGGGTTCACTGTAGCAATAGCGATGCTGTGCTTGTTTGCCATTTGCATTCCTCCTTTTTCTTCCTTTTTTTTTAAATATCTTGGAGGTTTATGCAAATATTCCTGCATGGAGGTATCATGTACAGTTGTCCTTGAAAATAACAGGTTGAAATAAAGGGGATTGATGTAAGAAATAGTATTGTGGAGGGACGAAAACAAGGGCTTCCAATGGATATAAAGTGTGGAAAGAAAAAAAAATGTTTACTGGACATCACCTTTGCTGTTGCCTGAAAAATGATGTTCAGGAAATTGGTTTTATTTATTTCTATCTCCTGTTTAAGCTTGGGTACGAAATAAGTAAATGACCTACCATAAAGAGACAGAAATAATTAACTCAGTGATGTTTTTCTTTTTCTTGGTTTTAGGTGGTTGTTCGTTTGATGAGCATTACAGTAACTGTGGTTATAGCGTCGCCTTGGGAACCAATGGATTTACCTGGGAGCAGATCAATACCTGGGAAAAGCCAACAATGGATCCTGCTGTCCCAACTGGTAAGTGAGATGTCCCAGCAGCAGCAGGGAGGTGCAGTTCTTGGAGGGAATCAGCTGTTATTTCTTTATGGGTGTGTGCTGGGTCTGGGTACCCTCAACAGGGCAGCGGGATTTTAGTCAGTGATAAAAAGATGGCTTTTGTGTTCAAAATAATCTGACAACAGAACTGATAAATGTGAGGTGGCTTTTTACAATATTTGCCATTTGATATCCTTGCTGAATTGTTTTCCATTCCTTGTTCCTCTTTTATTTCTCATTTAACAGAGAGGAAATGTTTTGGATTTAATACTCCAAGGTTTGTTCAACTTTTTAAGTGTTTCAGGGTCACTGAGCTTTTTTATGTGGGGAGGTGCATGTTGGAGAGGCCAGGAAAAGTGAAGCTTTGAAATGTCTGGAAGTATTGGACCTTCCAGTTACCATTTAGCTCTTAACTGATTGCTTTAATTCTAGTTCTGAGAAAGACAAGAAAATTTCTAGAGAATAAGTTGTTGTAGCTTGTGCTTCATTAGGCTGGGATTTCAGACAGGGGAATTTTCATATGCAAGAAAAACATTTCCAGCAGCGAGTTATCAGAATTCCTAATTTGTTAATATATATTAAGAATATCATGGTCTTCCATGTGATATTTGAAATATTCTTTGAAGAGCTGATGATAATTTCCAAGTTTTGTTACTCATTGGAAGTTACCATTATGTTGTACGTGGGAATGAATTCTCCAGCCTTAATAATTAAGTGTTCTGGAATGCTTTGTTCACACTGAGAAAGAACTTGGTTTAAGAAAACACACTAAAGTTTTCTCAAAAACCTAGTTTGTCTCTGTTGGTTGCCACCTAAAATAGCAGCACAAGCCTTTTTGAGGCCCACGGTGACAAACAGACCTCACCAGCCAGTTAAGACTTTGATTTCACACCTAAAAAAGAAGTATTTGTTCTGGTTAGTGCATTCCACAGCGAGAGCATGAGCTACATGGCAGAACTGGAATATAATGTTGCTCCAGAGGTATTCTTATGCCTGTAATTATTGGGATAAGAGACTTGTAATTGCTGGCTGCCTGGCAAGGACACTGTGCTGAGCTGATGTGACAAGAGCTCCCTGGAAGCACTGACAGCCAGCCCAGTCTCCAGCCCTGGGTGCTTGTTGTCAGGAGAAAACAAGCACATAAGACATCAGCCCAGCTGGGCTTTCTCCAGCACTTGAAAGATTGTTTAAGTTCTGTGGTTTTTAAATTGTTTTATTACTGGAACTTCTCCAGAACAGGAGACTTCAAAGTGTGTGACACCTGGCACCACTTGATTTGGCTGTGGCATTCCCAAAGGAGTTCATTAGGAAAGTTACAGGGTTTTAGTCTTGTCTGTAAGAATTTATTTTGTGATTCTGGATGTTGTGTTTTTAATGATGGCAGTTTTATCTCTGTGGTTCCTCAACTTCCACCCTGTTGTGTTCTGTTCCTTGTCCCTGCTAAAGACCAAACTACAGGTCTGGGAATTAACTGATTCCAGAGTGATCTGAAGGAATAGGAACATAGAGAGTTTAGATGCAATTAGGAATCTGGAATAAATGGGAAGGTTTATATGGCTTGGTCTGGATGAGTTCAATATTTGGTCAACTCTAAATGCTAAGATAAACCCTTCCTTTCCTCCATATGAAGGTGTATTGTAATCTGAAGTGCACTGGAACTATGGAGAGATCAACAGACTCATAGAGATTGGAATCTAAACAATAATAGACAAAAAACAGGCTGGAATGGCATGATGGAAAAAAAACCCAAACAACAAGCCAACCTTAAACAAACAACCCATACACACACAAGACAAAAAAAATCCGACATAAAGCTAACCCCAAAACACTAAAATGTAATTTTTTTAAACAAGGCTTTCAAAATTATTTCTCCAAAACTAAATAAATAGATGGTTTTGTGTTTTTCCCCTGTCCATTATAACTGATGTCACTAATAAATATCTAAAGACGTTAGAGCAGCCGCAATTTTAATAAAGGTTAGACATCAAATAAAAAACACAGAAAGCTTTATTAAGGGAAGATGCAAAGGTAAAACAGCCATCAAATTGGAACGTGCTGATAAGGAGATGTTATCTAAAGATACTTTAAGGACCATGAGGGGAAATGAGTCAGTTCCTCCTGTTACTGATTGATGTCTCAGGACTATTCACAGAGAACAAAAGGCAAAATCAGTAGGTGTGAAAAGATTGGCCGTGGCAAATGGGTACAGAAGGGTCTAGTAACAAAAAACATGTTTTCAGGAGCTGTCCAAATGCTGCCAACCTCGAAGTAAATTACAGTGGCCTATTAGACTCCCTGAAGCTTGTGGAGACGTTCAGAGCTGTTATTGAGAGTCTCTTGCTGGACAGACCCGTAATGCACATTGTTTGTGTTGGTTACTCTTTGAACACCTGTTTGCTGAGAATAAAAGTTGTTTACTTTAAAATTCATCCAGGGACAAAGCCAGGTGAATAAACTGATGAACAGCACGTTCTGCTCTTACAGGCAGGGAAATCTTTAAGGCTAGAGGGCTGGAACATGTGAGGATGGACTTTCCATGGCACATAATTTCTCCACAGCAGCTGAGAGCAGCAGGGTTTGAGGTGGTATCAAAGAGGGGCTCATGGAACAAGCCTTGGTGGGCAGCCATAGGCAGGAAAGCTCCCTGGCACTGAGAGTTGTGGCAGGAGTGCCAACAGGGTTCTGAGAAAAACTGGGAGGAGCTGTTGGCTCCATGGAGGACAGGGAGACCTCAACAAGTGAGAGCACTGGGCAATCCCCAGCCATGGGAAACTCAACCAGGGGAAGTGCTGGATTCCACCCCTGGGATGGGTCGACCCTGGATGTACAGACAGAGTGGGAATGAGATGGTGGAAAACACTGCTAGGAAAGGGCCCTGAGGGTTCTGGTCCATGGCCAGTTGGCCACAAGTCAGCAGTGCCCAGGCAGCCAGGAGGGACAGTCCTGTCCTGGGGCATCAGGGAGGGGATTGTCCCGCTCTGCTCTGCCCTGGGGTGGCCTCTCCTGCAATATTGGGGCAGTTTGATCTCTGCAGGAGATATTAAGCTCTTAGTACCCAAAGGAGGGCAGTGAAGATGGGGAAGGGCCTTGAGGGAAGCTGTGTGAGGAGTGGCTGAGGGCACTTGGTGTGTTCAGCTGGAGGAGACTGAGGGGAGACCTCACTGCAGTTCCAGCTGCCTGGGCAGGGACAGAGGAGGGGCAGGGACTGATCTCTGCTCTGTGGGGACCAGGGACAGCACCCAGGGAATGGCTGGAGCTGTGTCAGGGCAGGGTCAGGTTGGATGTTACAAAGAGATTCTTCCCCCAGAGGCTGGTTGGGCACTGACCAGGCTCCCCAGGGCAGTGGGCACAGCCCCAAGGCTGCCAGAGCTCCAGGAGGGCTTGGATGATGTTGTGACTCTTGGGGATGGTCCTGTGCAGGGCTAAGAGTTGGACTCTGTGATCCTTGTGGGTCCCTTCCAACTCAGCACATTCTGTGGAGACACGGACAGTTGTGTAGATATTCTTTGTTGGGATGGTATTTTAAATACTGCCTTGTTTTTGTAGCTGGAAATAGATTAAAATGCTACCTTGTGGAAATGGTAAAACCAAAAAAGGAGCAGGCATTAAGCTGGTTCAATGATACTAAGTCAGTCTGCTGGGAGATGTCAAAAAGCAAAACCAGCCCCCACCCTGGTCAGCTCTTCCCTCTGGAAAACATTTTGGCTTTCCAAAGTGCCAGGAGATCCCTTTAAATTCAACCAAGCCACAGAACTGTGTCCTCCTGAATACTAATGATGCCATCTAGCACTTTTTACTGTGCTTTTCATCGCTGGATCTCTGAGTGCTCTTCAAAGGAGGTCAGTGCTGTGAGTGAGAGCCCGAGTCCCTAGAGCTGTGTAATTCTCTGCTGACACTCTGCTGCAAAGGTCTCTGCCCAGGGATGTCTTTCTAGTCTTTATTTTTTTAATTGAAATGTCAAAAAAAAAAAAGAGGCAATTAAACTGCTCCATTAGCAATGTAGAAGTTTGTAGGCAATTTGTTTTACTCCGTTGCCAGCAAATAAACTGTTTCCCATGAATTCTATGATTAATTCCTTAGGGCTGGAAACACTGTTAATTGAGGGATTAAGAACCAGATGTTTGTTGTTCTGAATAAATGTTTCAAAACGTGAAAGACGGGAATTGTAGGTATCCAACCCCCAGACTTCGGTGGGACTCTGGTTCCACCTCCTTGCACAATAGCAGCAGTGATTGTAACAAAATATTCTTTAACAGATGGGTGTTTACTTAAGCCTGAATACCCTCAGTGATGAGTATTCCACAGCTTTGAGCTGCTTGTTCCACTCTTTGAATTATAAAGGTTCTCAGTCCTTCATTTTCCTTTCTATGGCTTCATCTCATAATTTTTTCTCCCATTTTTGGCTAGGGAGAACCATCAGTTGTTGCTCTCTTATAACCTCCCTTATGTAGTTCTGTGCAGTTAAATCTTTATTTTGCAGGACTAAATGTGACCCAGTCCTTTTAACCTTTCTCCATTCAGCATCCTGTTTCCTTCCCTATGCCTTCAATCATTACTTTATTTTTTTTGGGGGTATTTGTCTGAAATTGTGTTCCAAGGGCAAGGCACAAGACTAATTTTGTTCTAGAAGTTCAAAGTACAGCAAGTGCATTTCTCCCGCCCACCTTTATTTTCGTCTTGCCATTCTCATTCCCCTTTTTCTGTAAATGTTCAGTCTTTATGTGCTGCTGTTAGATGTTGTGAGATGGATGTGGCCCTTTGGTTTGTGTGGGATCACAGAAATTATTTCCTTGGTGGTAAAACTCTTCCCTGTGAGGGTGGGGAGGCCCTGGCACAGGTTGCCCAGGGAAGCTGTGGCTGCCCCTGAATCCCTGGAAGTGTCCAAGGCCAGGTTGGATGGGGCTTGGAGCAACCTGGGCTAGTGGGAGGTGTCCCTGCCCATGGCAGGGGGTGGGATGAGGTGATTTTAAGGTCCCTTCCAC